GATTTGGATGCCTTTAATTTCTTTTTGTTGTCTGATTGCTGAGGCTAGGACTTCTAGTACTATGTTGAACAGCAGTGGTGATAATGGACATCCCTGCCGTGTTCCTGACCTTAGTGGAAAAGCTCTCCATTTTTCTCCTGGTATATTCTCATTTATATGCACTAAGGAAGCTCACTATTTAGAGGGACTTTCTGGGTCTCTTGACTACTCTACTCCTACTTCCCTTGTTGCATTTTCAACAACATACTGTAATTATCTTTTCTCTGTTCTTTTTCCCCAACCATGAGCTGCTGGAAGGCAAAGGACATACCGTATTTAATTTTACATTCCCAGTATCTAGAATAGTGCTTAGCAGCAGTAGCTTTTATTGACTTACTGAACATGTGAGAGGATGAGTGAATGGATACATGGTTAATTCTAGGTTGAGTAAATAATCATCTCCAAATTTGGGGTCAATCTGAATTTTCACCCTTTGGAGTTTCTTAAAGCAAGATAGTTGATGAGGTTATTGGGGATCAGGGCATTTATTATGTAACCCCTCTTAATTATGGCCCATCATTCCTGTGTTTGTTTGGTAAGTCAAAGAGTTTATTATTGTATGCCCAAAGTATCTGAAGGTCAGACTCAAATCAATTTTTTAAAAGTATGCCTCGTGTCCTATACATATTATATTCTCTCCCAAGCAATGGTAGAGTAGATGTAAAAGATTTCAAAAATATACTTCAGAGTGTTAGCACTCATAATTACTGGGCTCATATGAAATCATTTAAGAAGGGTTCTGGGGCTTCAAAAAGTGTCAAGTTCTTCAGTGATGCTGTGCTGGAGGGAACTGTAGACACCATCAAAGTAGATACTTCCTTTGTGCAGATGAGAAGAAGTGAGGCCCCGAGAGGTGAAGGATTTGTTCAAGGTCACCCAGTTCATCAGGAAGTCAGTTCCCCCATATTCTAAGGTCAGTCCCCCCATATTCTAAATCAGGTCCCCCATATTCTAAGGCCGATGGCTTTATGGACCCTGGGACTAGGATTCCTGGGTCACATTGATTCTGGAAGATGCAGGACTGGCCCTGTAAATCCAAAGCTGCTAAGACAAGGGCATGATTTCTAGAAGAGCTCGTTGTGGTGGTTGATCTGGGCTAGCAGCCAAAGGAAGAAGATCCCTGTGGTCCACATGCATGCTCTTGGGTGTATACAGTCCATTCACATGACGTTTAACTTTGAAGGTGTCAGAGAAATGCAGGTCTGTTGCTGAAGAGAGGCAACATCAGAGGGGGACCCACACACATGCGAAGGTTTCACAGTGTTCCTCTGCAGTTTTTAAACACTTGAACTTTAAACTTTCAAACTTCAATAAATTATGTTGAAGGTTTGATAGAAACAAATTGTAATAAGTAACGATTCCTTTTTTCTCCAGTGAGTTTGTACGCACAGAAGAGGAGGTCATTTTCAACTATGCGATGTAATGTTACACATGTTATTCGAACTAGTGTGACTTTTGCTCTTTTTTATTTCTGTACTCAGATTCAAAGGATTCCAAGGAGAAGAATAAAATGGAAATCTTGTACATACTGGTGCCAAGTGTTGCCATTCCTCTGGCCATTGCTCTGCTCTTCTTCTTCATTTGTGTCTGCCGCAATAACCAGAAGACCTCATCCCCGCCTGTCCAGAGGCAACCGAAGCACGTCAGAGGTCAAAACGTGGAGATGTCAATGCTGAATGCGTATAAACCCAAGGTAAAATTAGTAGAACGGAACTCTACAGATTCTGTAAGCTTCGGGTTAAAGCAGAACTTAGCACCCTCCCCAGCTTCGAAATCAAATGATTTAGACTCAGAGTTTACATGCTCTAGAGTTCATTTTCAGCATAATTTTGTCTGTCTCTAACTTTACCCAAGGCAGCTGGAACATTCTTTCATCAGTGTGTCCACGTCCACGTTGGGCCAGCCCCATCGCTGCCTTAACATGGAGTCTGGACTAGAAAGAATCTTTAAGACATCATCTCTCCTAAAGATTCCAAGTGTGAGCTATTTTCACAATTTCAAAGATGGAAAGACTGAACTCTTCCAGTCAAAATGAAAGAGATGAACAGAGAAAAAAAAAGAAAACAAACATAGTTGACTCAGTTCACTGTCCAAAAACTCCTTTTTATTGCACAACAGCACGCATAAATGGTACACTGAAGAACGGTAAGTTTTATGTGATGTGCTTTTTTGCTACAACAACAAAACCTAAGTCCTAACCTAGGAGCTCAGTTAGGTTTAATGCCTAACCAAAATCCATTTCTCTTTGATTTAAGCATATTTAAAGAGAAGTGTTGTCCTTCCTATACTCTTTGAATGCTGTTTTATGATCGCCCACCTTAGCCTTCTCATCTCTGTGCTAAATTAGCCCACTTCCTTTTCGTTTTTCCTCCTCATCTTTCAACACGTGGGTTGCTCCAGGTCTTGGCAATGAACCCAGGGTCACTGGTCCTTACCTTAAATGGAGCACACACACCACATCTTGAAGCTGAAATACAACAGAGGCTTTCTCTCCAGAAAGCCAGAACCTCAATCCTTAGGCCTCTCGGCAAAGAGATTTCATTTAAATAATTTAGAAGACATCCCAAAAGCCTGTCTTTTCTTCTTATTCCAACTCCATAGGCCACTCATTCACTCGTTCTACAAATATTTATCTTCTCTGTGGGCTAGTGACTGTATTATTCATTTGACCTTCATAAAGAAGTTGCATCTCTTTAATAAAATCTTAGAGAAAAATATCTTCACACTGAAATTAACTAATCCTTCAAAATAATTAGTAGAGTTGCCTATTGGGACTGACTCATAGTCCTCATTTGATTTTAGTCTGCTTTGCAGTTAGATTTTTGTTTGTTTGTTTCATTTAAAAAGTCTTATATATTTTTTTTCTGTTGTAGTCATATTTGTTGGTAAGATTTTCGGATTTCTTAAATGTTAAAAATTCATTTTTTAATTATTCTGTCTCAAGTGAAACCACAGTTCTCTTCAGTGTGAATTTTTTACCATTTAAAACAAACAAACAAACAAACAAACAAATCCAGAGATCCTAAAGACTACAAGGTTCACTCAGTAGGCTGGAGGGATAGGTAGAGGTGGAGGTTCCTTTTTTGTGACATCCTAGCTGCCTGCTAGCCAGAGTACATCCATTACAGCATGTTAGAGAACATCACATTTAATCCTCACAAGGGACTTGAAGAAAAGAGAAGGGTTAATACTGCACATTCAGGAGCTCACACCCAGTTGACCTTTTACACTTCCCAGGCTTGAAAGTTCTGGTGTGATGGTGTTTTCCTATGAGAAACTGTCATTTCTGTTATTAAACATTGAGAAACTTTAGAAACGCCAGAACTGTGGACAGGAGAGAGACCCAGGTCAGCCAGCTTACAGCGGTCATCTTGCTGTGGCCACCGTCCCAGAGAGCGGACTCCTCTGGGCTGCGGCAGGAACCAGGGGAAGAGTTCTTTCATTTGGGAAAACTGTCAGTTGCATAGGTCAGTCTCCATGTGCAACTCAGTTCCATTATTAGCAGAGGTTTGCTCTGCAAAGCATGGTGTCCAAGAGGCATGACGTTTTGGACTTATGCAATCTTTCAAAGAAAGATCTCATAGACCTTTGTGGCATAAACAGAGAAAGCTAAAGTGTGTTGAGGGAGATACAAATTGTCAAGAACTGTATGAGGAGCTTTAATATCCATTGTCTCATTTAATCCTCGCAGCTGTTCTAGAATACAGATGTGATTATGGCTCCCATAAAACCAGAGTAACTGAGACTCCTACAGATTAAGTAATCGTCCAAAATCAAAGAGCTAGAGAGTAGAAGAGGTGTGAACATAGGATTTTTTGTGACTAAAGAAAGTCCTTGCACTTGCCTGACCCCGTGAAAACTTTTTCACAGGACAAGTCATGCTGGGAAGGGAGAGTGGGAAGGGGGCAGGCAATACTGAATATGATTCCATTTGGTCAGTTTGGGCTGAACGCTGACCATAGGCATCCCCCTGCCTTATGATAAATCCTTAAGAGGCTTGTGTAACCATCACACGTCTAAATGGTATAGCTCCAGTTCTGCCAAAGGCATGTAAAATTTGGCCAGAGCAATAATAGTCCTCTACCGTACATGGTTGTAGAGAAAAATGTAAAATATACTGGGACAGGGGCACCTGGGTGGCTGGCTCAGTCGTTAAGTGTCTGCCTTTGGCTCAAGTCATGATCTCAGGGTCCTGGGATCGAGCCCCGCATTGGGCTTCCTGCTTCATGGGGAACCGGATTCTCCTTCTCCCTCTGTCTGCTGCTCTGCCTACTGGTGCTCTCTCTGTCTCTCTGTCAAATAAATCTTTAAAAAAAATTTTTAAATAATAAAATATACTGGGACAAATTTTCCCAAAGACTTAGTGAAGTAAACATTGTTTTCATCATTTCTGAGGTTTCCCTTGCAAAATCTCCCAGTGCCAAGATTTCTCCACCACAGGGCTTAGAATTTAGCCTTAAACAGCTCTCAAGTAATTCCGAACCACACTGTTAAGTAGGAACGGCTCGAGTATCTTTGACGGGGTTGAGGAGGGCAAAAGAAACAACAAAAACAAATGCTCACTCTTTTTCTCTTACTCTCTTAAGAGATTTGGCTCCAATCAAATTTGAGTTATTCTCTTGTTTGTTTTGGTTCTTACTGAGTGCCTTTCCTGGAAAAAGCACAAAGGACTTCGTAGACCTTAAAGAAAATTCCTAACTGTAAACAGCCAATCTCTAAAAGTGCTTTGAAAGGTCACTGACACATAAATATTACATGTACCTATAAAAGCTAAGGAAGGAACACACATAAGAAAGAGAGAAGGGGAAAAAAAAAGTCCTGAAAACAAACACCCTACCAGCGTAAAATCAGAAGGATATTTGGAGGGCTGGGATGTTAAAGAATAAAGTATGGAGGGGCGCCTGGCTGGCTCAGTGGGTTAAGCCTCTGCCTTCAGCTCGGGTCATAGTCTCAGGGTCCTGGGATCGAGGCCCACATCGGGCTCTCTGCTCAGCAGGGAGCCTGCTTCCCTTCCTCTCTCTCTCTGCCTACTTGTGATCTCTCTCTCTCTGTCAAATAAATAAATAAAATATTTAAAAAAAAAAAAGAATAAAGTATGGAAACTGGTATGCCTGAGCCTTACTCTTATTTTTCCCTGGTCAATTCAAAAGTTAGAGGCTCCAGAATTTTTATTGATCCAAATGAACATGCCCTTGAGGGTGTAAACTCTTTCTATCTCTTTCTACTTGCTGAGCTGCTAAAATCCCCCCCCCCCCAAGTGTTTGGATTAGGAAGAGGCTCCTCAGGGAGATTAGAAGCCTTTCAGAGGGCACAAGAGCAGTCAGACGATTTGGGAGCCCCAGCCTGAGTCCCAGGAGAGGTGGGTGAGGCGGCTGAAGTTAGACCTCCATGGGATTTGAGTTTCCTGCTGATTTGTGGGGAAAGGAAGTCCGTGGACCAGAGAGACATCTCAGTGTGGAGCCATGAACAGTCAGGAAATGGAGATGTTCCTCCTGCTCCTACCTCCACCCACCATGACCCTGAGAAGTCACTTGGCCTCTCTGAGTCTCTCATTTCTCAGTTGTTCAGAGAATGATGTAGACCCTGTTCGTGTAAGGTACTGTTCATTTGTTTTCCTTTTATTTTGTTCAGCAGGAGATTTCAAGCCATTCAGTGGGATAAGATAACCTTCTCTTTCCCCTCTTTAAAATTCCCTGATGAGTATTCTAGCAATGTGTGAACTAAGTAGGACTATTCTGTATTGCATTACAAATTTTATGATCTGAGTGGGTATTTTAATTTTAAGAGTACTGTGGAAAATGAACCTTCTCCAAGAAGCCTGGGAAACCCTAACTTCCCTTCTCCTGGATTCTTTTCCTTAGCCCCTCCCTCTCCACTCCCCAATGGTCATGTGTCTGAAAAACTGGGCAGTGTCTGCGGGGAGAGAAGGCTGTGGAGCACTCTCCTGGGGAGTGAGAAAAGTGCCAGAGCCTCCCACTTGAGCACAGCAGAGGCGGTGGGGGCTTCTGTCCTTCCCTGTGTGACTCACCTACATGGGACGCAGGCATACTGAGAAGTTACGAGTTGGAGGAGTTTGAGGATGGGGGACAAAGAACAGTGGGCTGGAGGTTGGGGAGGGCCACAGCCAAAGCCCAAATAGGCTTGTGGGTCAGACTCGGCACCTCCGGGCTGGTATAAGGAACATTTGGCAGAAAGCAGGATTTGCCTCGTGTTCTGAAGCTGGTGACTATTTTATTTCTCAGTGTACCCTCATCTCTTGCCAGCTTCTCTGTTTCTTCACTTCCAGGCAGTTCCTCTCCCTTTATCCTTTCCACACAAAGTAGTTGCTGAATATACTGACACTTGATTATCTTCTCTGGGCCTGTCCCCTTCGCCAGTAACATGCTTCCATCTAAAAAGCTCTGCTGTGGTCCGGCTGCCCCTTTTGAGCCCCTGGCCTTATCCAGTGTCACCACACTTGGTGCTAAAATGTTCTTGTTAGCTTTTCTACTCAGTCCTTAAAGTCTTTGACCCCCCAGACTTCTGAGCTCATCATTCTATTGACAGGGCCCTCTAGGGGATCCCCAGTGATGTAATTCAATCTAATGGCCTTTTCCAAGTCTTTATCCTCCTTAATTTCCCCGGAGCCTTGGATATTCTGAACCACCATCTTAAAATACTTTTTCTCTTGGCTTTCCTCCTATCACCTCTGTT